CAGTAAACAGATTTTCAATGCAAATGAAACCGTTATACTGGAAAACGCCATCTAGAACATTCAGAGCTATTAAAAAGTGTCTGTTCTCAAAGCTTCTAAAGACAGGCCAACACTCTGTTAGGAGCCAATGAAACTGGTGACTTGGGGTTGAAGCCAATGCTCATTTACCATTCTGAAAATCCTAGAGTCCTTAAGAATGTGCTAAATCTATTCTGCCTGTGCTCTGTAAGTGGAACAATAAAGCCTGGATGACGGCACATCTGCTTACAACATCATTTACAAAATATTTTAAGCCCACTGTTGACACCTAGTACTCAGAAAAAAGATTCCTTTCAAATTATTACTGCTCGACAACATATCAGGTCACCCAGGAGCTCTGCTGATGTGCAGTGAGATTCATGCTGTTTTCATGCCTAACACAGCATCCATTCTGTAGCCATGGATCAAGGAGTCATTTTCACACTCAAATCTTATTTAAGAAATACATTTTGTAAGGTTGTAGCTGCCATAGGTCATGATTCCTCTGATGGATCTGGGCAAAGCAAGTTGAAAACCTTCTGGAAAAGATTGACCATTCTAGATGCCATTAAGAGCACTTGTGATTCATGGGAGGAATTCAGAGTGTCAGCATGAACAGGAGTTTGGAAGATACTGATTCCAGCCCCCACGGATGACTTGGAGGTGTTCAAGACTTCAGTGGAGGGAGTAAGTGAAGATGTGGTGGAAATAGCAAGAGAACTAGGAGTGGAGCCTGAAGATGTGACTGCATTACTGCAATCTTGTGATCAAACCTGAATGGATGAGGAGCTGCTGCTTATGGATAAGCAAAGAGTGTTTTCCTGGGATGGAAATTTACTCCTAAAGATTTTGTGAAGACTGTTGAGATGACAACAAAGGATTTAGAAGATCACATAAATTTACTTGATAGAACAGAGGCAGGTTTTGAAAGGATTGTCTCTAATTCTGAGAGAAGCTCTACTGTGTGTAAAATGCTGTCAAACAGCATTGCATGCTGCAGAGAAACCATGAAAAGAAGAGTTAATTTGGCAAACCTCATTGTTGTCTTCTTTTAAGAAATTGCCACAGTCATCCACCCTCATTCAATAACCATCACCCTGATCAGTCAGTGCAATTGACATTGAGGCAAGACCTCTAAAAGCAAAAAAATTACAACCTGCTGAAAGCTCAGATGATGGTAAGCACTTTTTTAGTAATATTTTTATTATTTTAAAAAATATTTTATTTATTTGACAGGGAGAGCCAGCAGGCAGAGGGAAAGGGAGGAGCAGGCTCCCTGCTGAGCAGCAAGCCTGATGTGGGACTCAGTCCCAGGACCCTGGGATCATGACCTGAGCTCAAGGCAGATGCCTGACTGAACCACCCAGGCACCCCTTAGCAATACTTTTATTAAAGTATGTATGTTGCTTTTAGGCATAATGCCATTGGACATTAAATAGACTATAGTGTAAACCTAGGTTTTATATGCACTGGAAAACTAAAAAAATAATTTGACTTGCTTCATTGTGGTGGTCTAGAACCAAACCCACAATAACTAAATGGATTTTTTAGGTCTAAAATTTCTTCGTCAGGGAAAAATGCCTCCCCTATCCATAGAAGTTGTGATCATTCCATGAAGAGGGATAGTAGTTTCTTCCTTCTACACAATGCCACCAGCCCTGCAGGTGGGCATATAACATAAACTAGCCAACCAGACTTTTGCCAGAGCTGTAAAGATTTTCTTTTTGAAGCAGGTGCCCAGCTAAAGGGAGCCAAGCTAAAAGGTGGGCAGAGTAAACACTACTATTTGAACCTCCAGATCAAACCACACTTTCCTGAGCTTTCCATATTCAAGCTCAAAATAATTTCCTCATTTTGTTTAAGCTGGTTTGATTTGGGTTTCTGTCACTTACCATTAGTGCAAGATTATTTTCTGAAATATCTTATTTCTTTGGACTTCTTAAATTGACACTACTGAATGTAGTCTATCACCTGTATCCATCACTTTCATCATTACAGTCTACTAGCCCCAACTGTAAAATGGGAGTAACAGTATCTACTTGAGAAAAAATTTCATGGGGAGCACATGCATAAAAATGCCAACTGCCATGCCTGGCATTCAACAAGTATCACTTCTCTTCCCTGTTTCTCCATTACCTTTCCAAAACATCAACAGCAATAATCTGAGCCTTTACATTTCTGTTCTTCACATATAAACTCATTTAACATATGCAGTCACCATGAGGTAGGTCCTATTATTAGCCCCATCTTATAGAGGGAGAAAAGGAGATACAGAGAGGTTTGTGGCTTACCCAAGGATACACACATTGTGGGAGAGCTGAGGAACAAATTTTCACATTATGCAATCATAAAGGCCTGTGTTTTCTGTATTTCATTTTTGCTGTGAAGCTTACTGCACAGTTAATGCTGAATAAAGCAAGGAAAGTTCCAAGTGCAGACCTAAGGGGCACAATATATTTCGCATAGATGTTTTATGATAACTTGGAGTTTTTTTGCTTGTTATCTTGTGCAAAGTGTAGTATCAATATATGTACATACCTATGCTCTATTTTTCAATTATACTCTAAAATAACATCAATCAGCTATGAGAACAGCTAATGTTTACTGAACACTTATGTGCCAGGCACCCTGCCAAGCATTAACTTAAGTATTTCATTCATCCTTCATAACTACCTTAAAAGTATTAAACAAGAGCAGTAACAGCTGAGCAAACCCAAGGACAGTGAGAGAGCTGGTGGGAGGGCAGGGACGGAGCTATGTGTGGTCTGGCCTTCTGCGCTCTGCATTCACTCTGAGGGCAAGCACAGGGCCTATCTTACTCTCCTGGCACCTCCTACATGCAGGGCACCCAGTTAATGAATAACTATATGCTCCTTACTAAAAAGAGAGCACTTTCAAATGATATAAAAGGCGACTTTAATCGGAAAGGGGCACTTGTGTAGAAAGGAGAAAGCTTTAAAGGCAGATCTTTCCTTGATAATTTATAGTTCCTTTTTTAATCCTAAAAACCCCACATTGTCACTGTAACACACATTTCCCTTCCCCTTTTCACCAGGCAGATCTGCATGCTGTATCCAACACCTAACCAGGGTTACCAGAAGGTGAGTATGTCTGATAGGAGATGAAGAGGAGGATCAGAAAAATAGTGAGTCAGCCATGAAGTTTATTTTATGATTCAATTTAATCCTCCTTACCCCCACCTTTTTATATTATGAGAATATACGCCATTAGGATAGCTATTAAGGGTGAAAGGATTAATTAAAACTTTAATTATCTGATAAGACTAGCATACTGTCTAACCTGATTTAGGGCAAATTCATCTACTTCAATTAAAAATACTGGGCAGGAAAAAAAAAGAATAATAAAAATTAACTATGCAGGTCCTCTTTCTACCATTCTACCATGAATTTCCTAAATGACCTAAGGTATCACTCAAACAAAGAGCCATAGTGTGTTTTTAGTTTTTATTAGTTAAGAGTTCTGAGTACAAATAACAAATTTAACTTGACATTTACAAAAGAAAAAAAAAATTTACTCTCTGAGGTTTCTTCATAAAGAAAAACCTGTTCTGTACATTTTAATATCAATTTTAGGTTGAATTTTAATAATTCTGTCTTATTTTATCTGGTGAAAGAGACTAGAAAACATTATGTAGAAAAAAACCAAAAGACTAATTAAATGACCTAAATATAAAACTTTTACTAAAAGGCTTTTAAAAGCCACTTAAAACAATCTAAAAATTAGAATACTTTTGGCAGAAAAATTAGCAGCTATCAACAAAATTAACATTACATAATATTTTATCAAGAACTGCATTGCAATATTGTGGCTTACATATATTAGAATGATTTGCAACGTACTAAAAGCTTACTTATATCAGACATAAAAATCTCTTTGCTGAAACAATTTTTTAATGTACTTTAGCACTTTTGGGAGATTCAGTTCCCAATAAATGACAGTAACACAATTTAGAAGATGACGGATAGCATATCTTTTCATTAGAGACCTATTCAGGTAAGTCTTGCCAAATAGTTATGAAATTATATTCAATCATAAGCATTCATAAGAACTCAAAACAGTAACTTGGTCCCCTCATCAGTATATACGCTTGGCCATCAGAAATCATACTAAATTCTGGGGCGGGGGGCAGGAACTAACTTTAGAGTAAGTGTCAACCTACATTTTTTTATGCTTTCCCTGACACAGTTTCCACCACTCTTCATTTTAAGAGTGTTTCTCCTCAGTTGGTGGTATATTACCACTTCTTAAAGATCAATCATACCCAACATAATCCAAGGTCATCAACTCCTTTGTAGCTGAAGCAAGCTACAAACAGCAGAAGACCAACACATGCATTTCAACATAAAAATATCCACCCTACTCAGCAAGGCAGAAGCCCCATCTCTAAAACATTTGTAACCAAAGGTTGCTTTAAAATCAGTCCTATAAGTCCAATAGTATTACAATATCATTATCATTGGTTTTGATAGTAAGTTCAAACCTTAAAAATATATATTAAAATTTCCAAGTTGGATTACTCTGGAAACATAATTGAGTTGAAAAAAATCTTTCTATATTAGGATGAAATTTAATTTCCTGTATTTGGGTATGAAATCTCATACCTAGTCACTGAGATATAGAGTGTAAGAGGGGGAGGAAAAGAAGTACTGATTATACTGTACCCAAGCTTCTAGGAGCCATGAAAGGGGAATTATCCATGCAAACAGACAAATGTCTTTTGAATGCAACCTGTGTTAGCACAGTTCTCTTAAGTGGGAAATCCCTATGTTGTTGTCACTGCTTCCACGTATGTGTAGCTCAACTATGCTATGTAAGGGACCCCTTTCCTGTCCACAGAGCACAGGGCTCCTAAGTAGCACCAAGGCTCCACCATCTGGGAGCTACGCTTCCCAACCCAGAGCCTCCCACTTTTAATTTCCACTCAACAAGACTATAATTAGCTCAGTGAGGACATGACCAAAAACAAGTAAATAAATAAATAGGGATCAAAAATAGGAAATAAATAGGAACTCCAATGGAGTAAAACTTCCTACAGAGCTGATTAAGAGGTAAAACCTATTTGTAAATAAAAAAGCCAAAACCAAGTAAGATATATCTCTCTTTTTGGTTTCATTCAAGAGTCTCCTTCATTCTTTGCAGACTAGCTAGGTAGTGTGATATGATCTACATCTTTTCATTTACACTGTATTTGTCTATTAAAAATCATTCCTTAATAAGGACTTTTTAATATTAAAAATTCTAAAGGTTTATAATAAATATTGTATTAAAATATTTTAATATTTACAATTGGAAAACCGTATACTGCAGTCAGTCATCTCAGGGCTACCTCTTCAATTTCATCTTCTACAGATTCCACTGCTTTTACTGCTGGTTTACTGTTTGTATGTTTTAATCGGTGTCTATTTGGATTAAAACTTCTTCCTTCACTGAGGAAAAAGTCGTCATCTCCATCATGTTCTCTATCCCTGCTGCTCTTATCCCCTGAGAGAAAATTTAGAGGATCAAAGTCTCCTTTGCTGGCAGCCAGAGAATGTGGGTCACTGCTTTTAGAGGAGATGGTGCTGCTGCCACTGGCACCGAACAGCTGTTCCATCAGATTAGCTTTTTTCTCTCTTCTTGTCATTAAATCCACACTGTCTTTACCAAGTTTCTCTATACTGTTTCTTTGGACATCCAAAAGGCCACTCTTTTGGCTAAATGGATTTGACTTCCCTGATGTTTTTGCAAACGACGGCACATAGCTGCCAAATGCCAGCTCACTTGGGGAGACTGGGCCTCTAGTCTTTCCTGGATTCTGACCGTCTCCTTTTGTAGTGAAAACGCTGATGTCTTGCAGATGATGCCCATTAAATACTCTCTCCGAGGATTCTGAGAACATGTATGTTTTGGGGCTTCTCTCCGGGGAATGCAGTTTTGATTCCCAATCAGGCAGCAATGGCAGAGGAGGACATTTTATATTCTGAGAGTCTTGGAGTTCTCTGTTGATTTCATTCAGTTTAGCAAGTAGCATTTCTCTCTTCAGCCTTTCTTCTTCCTCTTCCTCTAATTTATTTATATTTTGAATTTGACACATTTCCATTTGGTATCTTCCAGTTTCCAATGCGGGCTTTTCTTCTCTCTCTAACAAAGATATTTTGTCTTTTTGCTTTTTAACAAGTTCTTCTCTTTCCCACTCTGTAAAATCAAATTTTAAAAAAATGGGATTTTACAGCAGTTAATATTTTTAAGTAGGAAAACTCAATTGTCATCTTCTACAAAACAGTCTAATTTAGTTATCTGTATAGTAAGAATGAACACCATAAATTTCATTGCTACACTTGATATTCTGGAATTCAGAAAGAATGTACTTAATGTGTATTGCATTTAAAATTCACATTTATGGAAGAAATTTTGTTCTTCAGTGTAGAGGTAAGGAAGAAGGTTCTCTATTTTTTATACTTAATATAGTGCTATACACTGAATGAAAGGTGATGGATAGATGGGAGTTTATTTTAAACTTAAATTGAACCTCTGCACGTCATACCCTGAAAAAGATACAATATTCCTTATTTGGTATTCTGACTGAAGATAAATTAAACTGAATCTAATTAAGAGAACACTTCAGATAAACCTCAAATGAACATTCTATTTTTAAAAAATAGGTCTTTATTCATCAAAAATGTTGACCTCACAAAATACCTAGAGAAAACTAAAGAGACAGGAGAACTAAATGCAATTCATCATCATATTCTGGTGAGAAGAAAATGCTATAAAGGACAATACTATGTCAACTAATAAAACTGTACTATGGACAGCAGATTAGAGAAATGTTAATCAAAGTTAAATTTTCTGAAGTTGAAAACTATACTGGAATGATTTAAGAAAATGTCCTTATTTTGGAAAAATAAACATGCAAGTATTTTAAGTTATGGGCATGAGAAATACCACTTACTCTGAGTAACTTTAGTAAATGGCATACATTCTCACTGATGTTTGAGGTCCTTATTTCATACAAACTCCAGGAGGAAAAAATAGAGATGAAAAGAAGGGGCCAGTCTTCTTAAACCCAACTGACCATAATACCTTTCTATTCTATGTTTTAATACTGTGAAAGCATCTCCCTTTGTGCCTTAGCCAATAGTAATATAAATAAATCTTCTATTTCAACTGTTTTAAGTACACACACACATATACATTCACTAATTTAAGCAACAATTAAGTCATAATTTAAAGGGAAAAAAAGGATTTCTCTGCAAGAAGCTTCTATAATGAAATATGTGCAGAGGATTAGAGTCAGGGATCCCTCTTGCCCATACCTTTAAGATTTTTTATCCAGATGGAAATAAATTTATTCCTGAACTTCATTTTCAGTATCTGAAACTATGTGAGTTGGTTCACTAAACTTTCATACCAAAATGAAAGAATACATACAGGAATATATTCAGGACCTCACAATTCACTGATTTTAATGTTTGGGCTACAGATTAGAATCTCAAGGTCAAGCCAATGGAGTGCATTGTCTTTCAGTTATCTCTTCATCAAGCTTTAGTTAACAAACACACAAAAATTTCCTCTTTTATCTGAATTCTACTTCATCTGAATTTTCTGAACGTAACTTGTCCTTATTCCCTAACTCCAAACAGCATCTTAACAGTTGCATTTTTCTTTTCTTAGTAACTTTATTCAAATGTTTGTGATTCCTAATGGACCATGTCCTACCACTGTATCAACCTTTTTTTATTCTGTATAACCAATTTACTGTTCAGCTGGAAAGTATCAGGGGATGCTAACCCTTTCTTTCCCAAAGGATGCTGACTTATTACTTGATTAAACAAATTTTCTTACCATTCTCCAGCTTTTCAACTTCCTGATTTACAACACGGAGTCCTTGATCTTTAACAAATTTTTCTTCTGTTTTCACAGTTGGGGTTAGAATCCTTGCTTCTTCATGTTCACCTCTCTCCTGCAGTTCCAGGTCCTATTACATATTTTTTTAAAAAAATGCAAGTTCACATGTCAAAAGGGGAAAAAGCTATTTAAATATCAGAGTCATCTCGCATTAAATATGACACCAAGTAAGTTGGAAATCAAAGCCAATTTTAACTTAATAAAGGAGTAAGTCACAAGTTACCACCCTTTGAAAGATGCTTTAGAAGCACACAAGATTATTTTAAAAATTTTTTTAAAAGTATAACATATATCAGAACCAGTATCATGGAATTAAAGCCAATAACCCACAAAAAATTCTGAAGAGACATGTTTCGGAAGTATCCTTGCTTTGTATGTTTCACAACAAAATCTGATTAATTCAGTTAACCAGGAAAGGTTATTAGCCAATTATGGAGGCCACGTTGAAAGGTCTGCTGAATTATAATACAGGCAGTAACAACTGCATTGAATCTTTCGAGTTTATACTTAAGACTGTGTCCAAAGCCTCCAGTAAATTTTATAATATTTAAATCAAATAAAAATATAAACTTAAAATTACTTGTTTTTTTATGGTCCCTTTCATGTGTGGGTGTAATAAGGTAATTTAAAAGTAAAATACCTATTATTAGTACAGCAGAGTGTTGTCCCCTAGTATCAATTTTCCTCTTCTTCCTTTTAGTTAGGAATCCCTTGAGTTTTGGCAGGGTATAAGGCGGCTCAACTGGAGACTACATCTGCTAGTCTCGCTTGCAGTTAAACAGGACCAAAGGGATTTGAGTGAAAGTATGTATGCAACTTCTGATCACATTTATAAAAATAAAAGCTGCTTGCTCTCCACTTCCGTGTTTCTCCTTCTCACAAAGGTGATGAGCCAATTCCAACCATACAGAGGAAGACTACACTCTTTCAGATGTAAGAACAGTAAGAGGATGACTACCAAGGAACAAAGCTATCTACCTATAATGGACTATCCACTGACCTTCACTCTATTTGAAAAGAAAGAAAACTTATATATTTCTTGAGCCACTGAATTCTGAATCTCTTTCCAATAGCAAATTAGCTTGCACTTGAACAATGCTCCCTTTTGCGAAGACCCTTCAGAGTGGCAGAATCAGTCTGAAGAGATTTACAAACTTTGTGATTAGTTACTACCACAAGCTGATGGGTAAACCATCCCTGTTTTATAGATTAGGAAATTGAGGCTCCAGAAAGTCACACAACTAAAATGTTAGCACTGCCTTTTTAATTAAATTCTGGTTCTAACTCCAAGGCTCTTTTACTCTTTTCACTGTATAAGGTTGCTGCTCCTCATGCTGAATCTTACAAAGACCATTTTTTTAATCCTTTTAAAGTTAAGAATGACTTTGCTATCCACACTTTACCCTTTTCAAAGAGACAACATGATTTAGTTTCAATGATAGTGAAAATATAAGAAGAAAGACACTCAGCAGGTACAGCTACCCAGGAACCAAACCAGCCCATCCTTTCTGTTTTATACCACAAGAAAAAAATCTCAGGGTCACTGGGAAAACTCTAAGGCACAAAAACCCAGGAATATATGAAATATGCTGGATCCCCAGTATATTGTTTTCTTTGGAATTTAAAATATAGAACCCTCTTAGAGAAAAGAACATTTGGTGTTGTGTTTATAAGTCCTTTTAAATGAAGGCCCAAACACAGACTCCCCTGAATTTCACTCTAATTTGAATGATCTAAATAAAGTCAGAGTCCACTGCAATACTTTGATCAACATTCAGCTAATCTGTAAAATTCTCACACAATAGGAGGCCCAAAAATACATAAGACAAATCTTAAAAAAATTATTTGAAAACTAGTAAAATTTTCTATTATGTATAAAAGCAAAGAGGGTTTTTAGAGACTATCTGGGTACATAAAAGGTAAGAAACCTCTATCTTTGGGGCACCTGGGTGGCTTCAGTCAGTTAAGCACCTGATTGTTGATTTTAGCACAGGTCATGATCTTAAGATTGTGAGATCAAGCCCTGCTTCCAGCTCTGCACTGAGCATGGGGCCTGCATAAGATTCTCTCTCTCTCTCCCTCTCCCACCACTAAAAAAAGGAAAGAAAAAGAAAAACTTCTATCTCCAACCCAGAAGGTATAACTAACCTTCTTGATGTATCTGGAAGATGCAATGAAAACTAAGAATCAATCCAAAGGAATTTAATAAAATACTCTCTTTAGAAGGCTACTTGCATATTTACACAGATACAGTACTAGCATCATTGCTAACTTTTAAAATGTTCGATATTGTGTTTTTAGGAATAACTTCAAACCTAGAGTTTAGTACCTAATCATGTTGCTAAACTCACCAAAGTAAGACGTTCAGGTTCTTCCCATTTGTTTTCATAACACATAACTGTTTGTGGTGTCAGAGGAAATTCTTCCAGCTCGAAGTCTTCACTGGTTTGTACTCCTTTTGTACACTGGTCTGTAAAATTACTCTGGCATGCAGCTACCATGAAAAGTATGGAAGAATTTTTCTAATCATACTGAACAGTGCTAAGATATATGGAATTTAACTGGTATATGTTCACCATCTACATGAGATAATGCACGTTTTGCTCAGCTCTATGACTACTCACTATTACCATTTTTATTTCTAGGATTTACTGGCAATTATGTAATTTGAGGACAGTTTAGACAGGTAAACCCTATTAAGCTTTTACAAAGTTTGATTTTAACTTTCTGCAATTTATAAGATGAAAATTTATACTTTTGTTTAAAAAAAAGTAAAGACATGCATAATAATGCCGAAGTATTTATGGGTGAAATGAAATGACAGCTGGGATTAACTTTAAAATACTCTTTAAAAAAAAATATTCTAGAAGTAGAAAAAAAATAGATGCAATAAGATTAGTAAAATATGTAACTGTTAAAGCTAAGTGATGCATAAATAAAGGTTCATTAAAATATAATCAAGCACCAGTCTGGAGTCTTCTTACTTATCTTCAAAGTTTCAAAAATAAATTATAAGAAAAAATTTAAACCTTAGGAAAAACTGAGAAAGAGGATTTCTGAAAATTAACTATAAGGAAATTTAAATTTACTTCAATGAAGTTCTTTCCCCTTCCTTCTACTTTAGAATTATCTGATTTTATTATTAGTGACAGCTACAATGTTTATCAATAATAATAACTATTATACCATTTTTTCGTGACCTAAGTTCTTTTTCTTTCTTTGGAGAAGACTTTGGCAGACGATTAGAATATATGTTTTTTATATCCAGTTCTCTCTCCTTTTCCTGAAAAACAAACAAACAAAAAACAATACAATTAAGGATGTAGAGTAGCATTTTATAATAAAACAAAAATTCTCACCTTGTCAACTAGTATTTTCCTTACCAAATTAGAATATATATACCAGTTCAGTTTCCCTTCTTAACTACTGAACTACAGAAAGGAATTATCTCTAGAACATCTAGGTTAGGACAATGATTCTCCCTAAAAAGTGTAATATGTACTGACAGTCAAAAAAATTAGAGTAAATAAGGCAAAATTCATTTTCTACCCATTCCTACCTAATAGAGCTAGCTGTGTCTTCAACTGTCTTCTAACTTGGCAACAGAGGTCAAAATAATTTCATTAGTATCTTTCAAACATGGCTTTTGAGTTACTGACACATTAAAAATCAGACTTTTTAAAAACACAGTGTTCTTTATCATTTTGAGGCAATGATTCTTTCTGAGAATTTGATTAACAAAATGAAAATTCTATGTAAGATAATGCATGAGCATTTAATTTTGCACAAAATTTCCACCCATCAACAACCTCTGAATAGAATTAAGAACACTTTCAACAAAATTAAATAATGTGAGTGCTTCCTCTCAACACTGACAACGAAGGGCATTATTTGAAACAACTTTTAAAATAATCCTAGGGTTATCTGAGGAAGAACACTGGATTATTCAAACACACAACAAAGAAAAACACTAGTTCCCATAATTCTTTCCCAAATTCCATAACTTATTTCAGTTATATCAATTCCATTAGGATTCAATATTTCACTTTTGGCATTTGTCATAGTGATTATATTACCAAAACTTTTCTTTAAAAGTACCAAAAAGAATAGAATTTTGTAAATTACATTGTTCCAAATTACAAATATGAGTAAGTGTTTTAAGATGTTGAGTGTTCAATATAGTTCACATATCTATTATCCATTAAATAAATAAATACATACTTTTAATTTGTGATACAGTTGTTGCAGCTCCTTCTGAAGGACTTTATTTTCATCATGAGCCTCATATGCCCTTTTCCTTTCAGCAAGCAACTGTCGTTGGAAACTGTTAGTACTCAGCTCAAGGTTTTTGGATAGTTCCTATGATGTGTATAGAAACATATAAAAATAATACTTGAAAATAACTGAAGAGTAAAACACTGCACTTAGCATTGAAATAATGTTTTTAGTAGTACCATACAAGACCTACAAATCAGGCTGAGCTTTGTGTTCATGAACATGAACTGGAAAACAGATTTACCAACAATTTAGTAAGGTACTTAGCCTATTATTCCTTATTTTGCATTTCACAATGATTTGTAAATTCTTAAGCATTTGCCTGAAGCATATATGAACAGTTACTTAAGTTGGTTGCAAATTCAGCCAAAGGATGTGATGAGAAACACTGGCTTTTGGGAGTCATAATTCAGGCAAATATATACCAAGACAGCTGCATAAAACTACACAGCACTATCCAAGGTACAGAGATTACTTTGTAAAACATTTCTAGATGAAAATAACAGTCATGTCCACAGTATTCAAATGTTTTTCATAAAGTTTGTGAAAAAATTTAGGTTAAAATGTTTTCTTTCAGGTGCATCAACATCATGGTAGCATGAGTCATTCTTTTCTCCCCACCTTTCAATTTACAACTAATAAGAGCCATAAAACATCCATAACTAAACAAAAGCACTTCTGCACAGCACACCAGGACACCTAAGAGAACCACCCATCTCTGCACCTGAGAGTGGGTGGACTGGACATCAGCAGAGGCTGTGGAGCCAGGGGTGGTATAGGTGGCAGAGGTAGTGGCAGGCCCGTCCGACCTTTCTGGCAGAAGAGTTGGAGGGTAAAGGTGTTAAGCAGGGACCTGCACAGCCACATGTGCGGCAGCTAGAGGGCCTCACTCTCTCTGAAAAGAGACCACAGTGACTAAGGGGAGGAAAAGGAAAGAGAAGGAGGTAAAGAGAACTGAAGGAATACCATTTCCCACTGTATGCCCAGGAGTCTGACAAGAGATCATCGATGAATCTCTAGGAAATATCCCGCAGCTCAAGGTGATTCCCTAGTGGGAAATGGGCACAGCCAAAGCATTAAGTGGTAAGCACACAGCTCCCTCCACTCTGTCACCACACTTTTTCTTTCCAGCCCATCAACTTTTTTTTAATTGTATAATTTTTTTTCTCATATGCATTTCATTTGAAGCCCCCTGATTGTCTCAGGACTGTTACATATGTAGACCCTTCTGACCCTAGGGATGCCTTAAGGTCTTTAAATAGTTCAAACAACAATTGGAAACTTGAGCACTAACTAGATATTTGAAAATACTAAAAAGTTGTTATTTCTTAGATGTTATTCTTGGTATCAGTTATTGGCATTTTGTTTTTAAAGTCTTTCTATATTAGAGAGATAAAAGTGAAATATTTATGAATAATACAATAGGATATTCAAGATCTACTTTGAAATAATACAGAGAGGTGAAGGAGAGTATATATGAAAAAGTATTTTCTATAAGGTGGCATTTTTTTAAGTTTTAATTTTTTACTATAGTTGACATATAATGCTATATTAGTTTCCAGTGTACAATATCGCAATTCCACAATTCCATACCTTATGCTGTGCTCAGCACAACCATAACTAACATCTCACCATACAATGCTATTACAATACCATTGACTATATTCCCTGTGCTGTGACTTTTATTCCTGTGACTTATCCATTCCATAACTGGAAGCCTGTATCTCTTATTCCAATTCATTCATTTTGCCCCTCTCACCACCACTCTCCCCTCTGGCAATCATCAGTCTGATCTGTCTTTATGGATCTTTTCTGCCCTCCCTAGGCCCCATCACCTATTTAACCCCCCCGCCCCAAACCGGCCCCCTCAGCAACACTCAATTTGTTTTCTATAGTTAAGAGTCTGTTTTATGGTTTGCCCCCTCTTTTTTTCCATGTTCATTTGTAAATGGAATTGTTTTCTTTCTTTTTTTTTTTTTTTTTTAAGATTTTATTCATTCATTTGACAGAGAGAGAGAGAGAGAGATCACAAGCAGGCAGAGAGGCAGGCAGAGAGAGGGGGAAGCAGGCTCACTGCTGAGCAGAGAGCCCGATGCGGGGCTCGATCCCAGGACCCCGAGATCATGACCCGAGCCGAAAGCAGAGGCTTAACCCACTGAGCCACCCAGGCGCCCCATGGAATTGTTTTGTTAATTTCACTTTCTGCTACTTTGTTATTACTGTATAAAAACAAACTAACTTCTGCTATTAATGTTGTGTTCTGCAACTTTACTGAATTCATTTAATACTTCTAATAATTTTTGGTGGAGTCTTTAGTGTTTTCTACATATGATAACATGTTATCTGCAAACAGTGACAAGTTTAACTTTTTTCTTACCAATTTGGATGACTTTTATTTCCTGTCCAATTGTTATGCCTAGGTCTTCAAGTACTATGTTATATAAAAGTGGTAAGAACAAGACATCCTTGTCTTGTTACTAATCTTAAAGCTTTTTCCCCCTCCCTGAGTATGATTAAAGTTAGTTCTAAGTTTGTCACATATGGCCTTTATTATGGTGAGTTATGTTCCCTCTACACCTACTTTGCTGAGAGGTTTTATCATGAATGGATGTTGAATTTTGTCAAAAGCTTTTTCTCAGCTATTGAGCAGATTGTATGATTTTTATCTATCACTTTATTTATGCTGTGTATCATGCTGACTGATTTTTTTTTTCAAGATTTTATTTATTTATTTGACAGACAGAGATCACAAGTAGGCAGAGAGGCAGGTAGAGAGAGAAGAGGAAACAGGCTCCCTGCCGAGCAGAGAGCCCGATGTGGGGCTCGATCCCAGGACCCTGGGATCATGACCTGAGCAGAAGGCAGAGGCTTTAACCCACTGAGCCACCCAGGCGCCCCCAGTTAATATTGGACCACCCTGATATCCTGGAATAAATTACTCACCTTGATTATGGTAATTTTTAAAAATATATTGAATGAAGTTTGCTAATATTTTTTTGAGAATTTTTTTGTGTCTATGTTCATAAGGGATTTTACTGGCCTATGGTTTTCTTTTTTTGTAGTGCCTTTGTCTGGTTTTGGTATCAAGATAATGTGACCTTGTAGAATGTATCTGAAGCTTTCCTTCCTCTTCTGTTTTTTGGAAATTTGAGGAATATAGGTATTAACCCTTTAAATGTCTGGTAGAATTCACCTGTGAATTCATCTGGCCCTGGACTTTTGTTTGTTCAGAGTTTTTTATATTACTGATTCAATTTTTGTTACTATTAGTCAGTCTGTTCAAATTTTCTATTTCTTCCTGATTCAGTTTTAGAAGATTGTATGTTTCTAGGAATTTATCCATTTCTTCTAGGTTGTCCAATTTGTTGGCATATAATTTTTCATAGTAGCCTCTCATAATATTTTGTATCTCTGTGGTATCATTTGTTACTTCTCTATCATTTCTGAATTTATTTACTTAGGTCATTTCTTTCTTGGGAGAGAAAGCTTCCAAATACATCAATGAATCCTCAATAATCCCCAATAAAATATTAGCAAACCTAACAACATATTAAAAGGATGATTTGCCACAAACAAGTGAAGTTTATTCCAGTAATGCAAAGGTAGTTCAATATTTGCAAATCAACCAATGTGATACACCACATCAGCAAAACCAAGGATACAAATCAAATGATCAGCTCAATACACAGAAAAAACATTTGACAAAATTCAAAATCCATTTATTATTTAAAAAAAAAAAAACAAACCCCAACCTCTACAAAATGAGTTTAGAGGGAACATACTTCAACATAATAAAGACCATATAAACCCAAAGCTAACATCATACTGAATGGTGAAAAAACTGAGAGCTTTTCCTCTAAGGACAGGAACAACGCAAGGAAGTCCACTCTCACCACCTTTATTCTACATAGCACTAGAAGTCCTAGCCACAGGAATCAAACAACGAAATAAAGGCATCTGGATTGGTAAGAAAAATGTAGTAATCAAAACAGTATGGTACCAGTACAAAAGTAGACACATAAATCAATGGAACTGGATAGAGCCTAGAAATAAACCCACACTTACTTGGCCAATTAACCTACAATAAAGGAGTCCAGAGTGTAGAATGGGGAAAAGACAGTCTGTCAAAAAATAGTGCTGGGAAAACTGGACCATTTTCTTATACCATACACAAAAATAAAGTCATAAGGGATTAAAGATCTAAATATGAGACTTGAAACCATAAAACTCCTATAAGATAACATAAGTAGTAACCTCTTTCACATTGGTTGTTCCAACATTTTTCTAGATGTCTCTCAGACAAAGGAAACAAAAGCAAAAATGAACCATTGTGACTATACCAAAATAAACAACTCTTACACAGAGAAGGAAAGCAACAAAATGAAAGGGTTACCTAATAAATGGGAGATGATATTTGCAAGTAATATATCTGATGAGGGGTTAATATCCAAAGCATATAAAGATATAAAATCCAACACCACAAAAACAATCTGATTAAAATATACTGAGAACCCGAACATTTTTCCAGAAAATAAACAGATGGTCAACAGACCCACGAAAAGATCCTCAACATCCTTTATAATAAGGGAAATGCAAACCAAAACCACAATAACATGTCATCTTACACCTGTCAGAATGGCTAGAATAAAAAAATCAAGAAATAACAAGTGTTGGCACGGATGTATACTCATACACTACACTGTTGATGGAAATGTAAATTGATAAAATCACTGTAGAAAACAGTATGCAGGTTCCTCAAAAACTTAAAAACAGAAATACCATTTGATTCAGTAATTCCATTACTTATCCAAAGAAAATGAAAACACTAATTTGAATTAAATCATTCTTTGAGAATTTTTATAATCTTGATACCAAAACTGGATAAGGACAGCCTGAAAAATAAATCATAAGCCATTCTTTTTTTTTTTTTTTTAAGATTTTATTTATTTATTTAACAGACAGAGATCACATGTTGGCAGAGGGGCAGGCAGAGAGAGAGAGTTGAGGAAGCAGGCTCCCTCCTGAGCAGAGAGCCCGATGCAGGGCTCAATCCCAGGACCCTGAGATCATCACCTGAGCCGAAG